TAATATCTCAACATCCGGTGATCCCATTCGAACAAAAATATCACCATTAGCTTTGTATAGTCGAGACGAATCTAATGGTGATATTTTTGTTCGAATGGGATCACCGGATGTTGAGATATTAGATTCCAAAGTGACAAATTCATTTTTGAAATTTCCAGTAATATTGTAGGCATAGTCACATCAAAGACGTTGAAAATTTTACAGATCATTACTTATAAAATTGAATATGATTGGTCAGATTTATTTATAGTGAGATTATTTTTTTTATATGGTGCCAAACATTTTAAATAGCCAATAAATGAACTTTTTTAAAATCTATTAGCACTTTATACAAATAAAATTAAAAAAAAACTAAACTGGTAATGTTGTTCTTAAGATAAGATCTATTAAATTATCGATCAGAATTTTAAAAAAAAGTTACAAGTATTTATTTAAACTCAAATAATTTTTATATTTTGGTCAAATTAAAACAAAATCATGTGATTTTTTGTTATACGAAAATTATTTTATTGGCAATTTTCAAAAAATATTTCATTATTATATGCACAATATTTTATTAATTCAAAATAAAATTATAATATATTATTACATGTATTATATAATATATATAATATTATTAGTTATTATATATAATATTATATTATAGTATATACAGAAAATTGAAACAAAATCATATAATTGATAAGTTAAAATGCTTAGCATTATATTAATACTGAAATTTTTAAAAATACATTATTTAAAATTATATTTTCTTAATAAAAAATAAAATATATTATTTAATAGTACTTATTAAAAACTATTAAATAATAATTTTTTTATATTTAAAGTTTTTATAAAAAATTCTTTGCAATTTAAAATATAATGACAATCAGAAATAATGCAACAATATCAAAATTTATTAATTAAATATAGTAAAATACGAATTTTTTTCTTTATATAAATATTTTCAATTTTATTAATAAATATTTTTTATTTTTATATTAAAATGAAGATAATATTATATATTTAACATATATTTTTTTCAAATTTTTTAGATTTAACCTGATAAAACTGTTCTAAAGTCAATTATTTTTTGTATGTTTTAATTATTAATTTTATATGCAATTAGAATAGCTTTATCAGATTAAATCTAAAAAATCTAAAAAAAATATGTTAAAATAAAAACTTTTATACAAAGAGAAAAATTCATATTTTATTATATTTAATTAATAAATTTTGATGTTATTGTATTATTTCTAATTGTTACTGTATTTAATTAGATATATTACATATTCTTATAATAAATTATTGGAAATTTAAAAATATATAATAAAATATAATAAAATTGAAATTATAAATTTTTTTTATTAATAAATATTTTTTATATAAAATAAAACTAAGCATTTGTATTTTAATATATATTTTTTTATAAATTTTTTAAATTTAATTTGAAAAATATTTCAGATTATAAAATTAGTTATACAAGCTTTTTATATTGATAAATTCAAATTTACAAATTTTAATTATAAAATATTTGTATAATTAACTTTATAATTCAAAATATTTTTCAAATTAAATTTAAAATTTTTAATTTTATTTTGATATAAAAACAAAAAATATTTATTATAAAGAGATAATTTTAATTTTTACTATATTTTATTATACTTTTTTGAATTTATAGTAATTTATTATAGAAGTATATATATAAGAATACTTGTCAAAATTTCTTAATAACTATCTAAATTTTGTCAAAACTAAAATTTTACCAAAATTTTAATTAATAATTAGTATATAATTTATTGAAACTTTGCCAAAATATTTTTGAAAAAATTTTGGCAAGTATTTTTAAATTATAAAAATAATTTATATATATACTTTAAAAATAAATTTGAATTTGAATTTAAAAAAGCTAAAAAAATATTAATTCTTAGTTTTATTTTAATATATAGTAATAATTAAAAAAAATTTAATAATATTAAAATTTAATAATAAAATAAGTTTTTTATATAAAAAATTTCAATCTTGTTAATTAATATTTTTATATTTATATAAAATATAAAAAACAATTTATATTTTGATTATAAATATTAATTAACTTATTTTATATTAAAAAACATTTTCAAATTAAATTTAAAAAATCTAAAAAAATATATATTTTTTAATAAAATTAAAATTTATATATTATTATATATAATAACTAATAAAATTTAATAAAAATTGAAATTTTTATTTTATATAAAAGTTTTAGTTTTATTAATAAATATTTTTTATTTTTATATTAAAATAAAAATTATAAGTTATAGTTAACATATATTTTTTAAATTTTTTTTGATAAAGTTATTCTAATTGCAAAATTATTGCAAAAATTTTTTATAAAAAATCTATAAAAAATTTTTGTAATAATTTTGTAATTAAAATAATTTTATTAGAAAAAAATCTAAAAAATCCAGAAAAATATATATTAAACTATAACTTATAATTTTTGTTTTAATATAAAAATAAAAATATTTATTAATAGAATTAAAAACTTTTATATTAAATAAAAATTTTAATTTTTATTATAATTTATTAATAAAATTATATATATAATTCTATAATTTTGTTAGTTATTATATATTTTATTATTAAATTTTAATACTGTTATAATTTTTTTTAATTATTATTATATAAGAGATTTTGTATTTTTATATTTGATAATTAATTAAAAATTTTTGTACTTAATAAATTAATAAATAAAAACTTTGAATTTTAAATTATTTATATATAATTATATTATATAAGAGATTATAACTCAACAATATAATAAATCAGTTTTAAAATTTTTTAATATTTTACAGAAATAAAATTTAGAAAATTAAATTAATAATATTATTTTTTAAAATAAGTTTTATTAAATTATTAATTAGATTTTTAAAAATAATTTTATATAAAAATTATAAATATTTAAAGTGAAATATTTTTATAATTAGTTCAAATTAAAATAATTTTCATAATTTTTTATTATATATATAATTTAATTTAATTAATTAATATTATTATAATATTAGTTAAATTATAAGTTTATTAAAATTTAATATATATTATAGAATTAATATTATATATTATAAAAATTTTTTAATATAAATATATTAAAATCAATATAATTTTTGAGTATAATATTTATTTTTTAGAAAATTAAAACAAAATCATATAATTATTGAGTTAAAATTTTTAATATTATACATATTTCTATAATAAATTAAAAAAGTATAATAAAATATAATAAAAATTAAAATTTTTTCTTTATAATAAAATTTTTATTAATATATTTTTATTTTTATATTATATATTTTATAGATTTTTTAAATTTAATTTCAAGAATATTTCTAATTATAAATTTGTTATACAAACTTTATAATTTACTAATTTTAATTATAAAAGTTTATATAGCTAACTTTATAATCAGAAATATTCTTGAAATTAAATTAAAAAATTTATAAAAATATATGTTAAAATACAAATTCTTAGTTTTGTTTTGATATAAAAACAAATAATTTTATTATAAAAAGATTATTTTTATTTTTATTATGTTTTACTATATTTTTTTGGATTTTTAATAATTTATTATAGAAATATATATAATAAAATAAATTATTAATTATATAATAAAAATTTCAAATAGTTAATAATAATTAAAAGTAATATAATTATATAAAAATTTACTAATAAATAAAATTGAACTTTTTGATACTATATTAATATTTGATTTTTATATCAAATAAAAATCAGATTTTTTGAACTCAAATTAAAGTTCACTTTTTAATTACAAAAATTATGTCAAAATATAATTTTTATTTTGATATAAAAATCAAAATGTTAATGTTTTATTACTTGATTGCCATTGTAATTATTGAAAACTTTTACTATCAAAAAATAATAGTTATACTTTTAAGTTTTCAATTAAATTTTGTATTACAATTTGAACTAATATAATTTTAAAAAATTACAGAATTATTTTATTTGTAAATCATAAATACAGAAAAGACCAATTGTAATACAGTATAATAAAAAAATTTTTGTAATAAACTCTCTATAAACTACAATCTTATAATAAAAAAGTACCAATCATTAACTAATTAGTCATTATTAAAGTTTTCTTTTTAGATTATAAAAAATGCAATTATCGTTGTCGTTATGTACGGAGTCGTGTATCAAAGAATACCGGTTTTTGGTGCAAACATGCGAGTGATACCATATTTCGATTCTTTATTAGGCTTTGGTTACATCGATATTGATATCGATATGGTTATTCAAGTAGGGAGCATCCGACCCTAAAGATATGGTCGGTTACTTTTAGAGTTACTGTATTCCAGGACCGATTGCATAAAGTCACACATGTTCAACATAGTACATGTATAGGAGGGTAAATGACCGAACAATTTTCAACAAGTACTGTTTATGACCCACAAACATTCGCAACGATAACCTAACTCTGCTCCGTTCTATACGGCATATGTAAAAAAACACGTACTCACGGCCATTTTTTTAAGCTGTCTTGGCTGTTTGTTTGTTGTTAAATCCCATAATATATATATAATCTATTTTATATATAAATAAATAGAATTAAATTAATTCAACAATAGTAATAAAGTCTCATTTGTGATAAAATGACGTCCCCCAATACAGATACTATCAACTATTTTAAGCACAAGCCGTCCACGATAACACCTAAGATGCCGATAAGCGGTGGTAACTCTAATGGCTCGCATTCAGACGAGCCCAAACTTTACTTAAGCAAACTGCTTTCCAATATGACTGAGGACGAGGTGTCAAGCATTTTTAGTAATGGGAATATAGCTCCAACTAGGTAGGTCTTTATATCATTCATCTTGATGTAAGCTGAAAATAAACTTAATTACGTTGTTTATTCATAATATTAAATTTAGAATCGATATCAAAAATCGGGTACTTTATTTTGCAAATCGCGACATGGGTAATTATAATTAAATTTTATACTCTTTGATATATGTTGCAAGTGGGAACCGGATCTATACTCAACCAAAGTTAGGATAAGGGTACGGCTAATGTTGGAGTAAGGGCAAGGACTAATAGTGCTAGCCGAAAGATTTTAAGTGGATTCTGAATCCACCAATATCCCATTCCCACTCGCAACATATGTATCCATCCTCTTATACGCTCGTTTATTCTATTTAATAACTAGATTATTTTCTATATTAATAATAATTATAGCCGAAAGAGCTTTCGCATTCTATAATAATTCCACGGAAAAATTTAACTTACATTTGAATGATCCCAATAACGGACCCAATCAAGCACCGAATGCTTTCGTTTTGGAGATCAAGCAATTTTCAACGAAAACAGATTTGTATGCTCACTTTCAGAAGTTCGGTCCTATATATTCATTGAAAATTCACCCGGGAAGAGCTTATATCCAATATTTCCATAAAACTGACGCTGAGCAAGCATTGGATAAAATGGTATGGAAAATGTTTAATTCGCGTTTTCTTTTTGCATATGAATCGAATTTGAGTTTTTCTTTTATCCCAATTATATAGCACTGCCAAGAAATAGATGGAAAGTCCATGTAAGTTAATTATAGGATAACTCATAATATAAAATTCAGATTTACATAAAAAATAATCTACCATATTCGAGATATACTAATATAGAAATCCTTAGTACTGTATCCGTATGCAATATCCAACATTTTCAACAACAATTTCAATCGACGCCAATCAAAATCAATAGCCGCAGTAATACTCAAGCTTCAAACGGAGTAAGTTTAATCTGTTTATGATAATGATGATGATGGTGGTGGTGATGGTGGTGATGATGATAATGATAATAATAATAATAATAATATCATTATCGTTATTGATCACAAAGGATGTTTTTATTTTTTCACTGACTTATTTCTTAAAATTAGCCTCCATTTTCGCCTGCGAGTAGTTACAGCAGTTCACAAACTGCACAACAATCGCCTGGTCCAGAGGGCTCTTTTGTAGATCCGTGTAATCTTTTTATAAAGAACTTAGATGCGAACATTACCAGTAGTGATCTTTTTAATCATTTCCGTAAATATGGTCGTATCATCAGTGCTCGAGTAATGAGAGATCAAGAAACCAACACGTCTAAGGGTTTCGGATTTGTAAGTTATACCACTGCTGATGAGGCTGATCGAGCTAAGCAGTCGATGAATAATAAAACCCTTGGGACAAAACAAATCGTTGTTAGACTTCACGAACCAAAAAAAATGCGTGAGGCAAAAACTGCAAGTAATTTCAATCCTGCTTCTCCTTCAGAATCTCGTACTACTTCTCGTCGAAATTCCGATCAGTACCCTATCAATGCAGTCAATGAATATGATCAAGAAACTCTTTCTGGACTCGCACCCAAGGCACGTACTGAGATTTTGAGCTCCGAGTTGCAAAAACGGTTTAAAAATATTGCAGTTCCTCAAGAAGAAGTTGGTCCTATTATTGAACATCTATTGAAAATGAAAATTCACGAAGTGTTGCATATTCTTAAAGACCCGCCTGCATTAACACAAAAGGTTAGTTGTTGCTTCTTTATTAGTCTATATATATATAATATGTACATCAATGAATAATGCAATTAATGCAAATTTTTTAGATTCACGAAGCGAGATCTTCCCTCCAAATGGAGAAGAAGCAACGCCGTGGATCTGATGAGCCCGTGCAGCCAAGCACACCAAATGTTTCAACACCTTCGTATACAATGGTATCCGAACCCGAAAAGTTTTCAAAAGCGATTAAAAGAATCGCGCCTCAACATGGCGATGAGATTCTTGAATTAATCATGTCTTTGAATAAGAAAGAGCGTACTTTGTGCTATTTCAATCCTGAATATTTAAATAAAAAAATTATAGAAGCGAATTTTGCACTTAGTCTTACACTTGATGATCAATCCACTGCGTCTTCGAGTCCAAATAAACTTTTAAACTCCGCAGATATTACATCTGCTTCAACTCCTCTCACTAAATCACCAGAACCAACAACGACGACTTCTATTTTACCTTCCCAGCCGAAAATTCCAGAACAGAGTGTAACGCCTAGCAACGGTGTTCACGATACTCAACATGAGGAAATAGAACTGTTTCTCGAGTCTCTTAAGAATAAACCAACTTTGGAGCAAAAACAAAAATTGGGCGATAAACTCTTCCCAAAAGTTAAAGCCACAGTCAAGGTAATTTGTTAGTTTATAATAATATTTATTTACGCTTTACTTGAGAATATCAAATTTCTGAAATACAATTTCTAATTGACAATTGTGAACCTTACATATTTTCTTATTAGAGTCTTGGAATGAAAGCTCAAGCAAGCAAGGTAACAATCATTCTTCTCGATACCGATGATCTCCGTGAATTGGCTCATTCGATGAACGATCCAGAAAGATTTAAAGTAAAAGTTGAAGCTGCAGTGGCAAAAATTGCTTCCGGTTCCATTGCTGCCAAATAAATACCAAATGTATGTATAATGGATAATAATAACAAGTACAAACATGGGACGAGTGCAATAAAAAGGTGGGGGGGGGGGAGGTTGGTCTGATTATAATTGTATTTTCTAACATTTTAGATGCTTATTTAGTGCTATATAATGCCCGATAGGATTTGGTGCTCCTCGTCCTCCTTCATATGCGGGCAAACAACCTACAGTGAAACTTCTCTAAGTGCACCCCCAGGGACCATATCACTAACCAGATATGAGTGTGCGTTTAGGGAAGGTGCATTTATAGAGTAAAAGGTCTTACAAGCTTGGGACTGAGCCAGAGTGTGCATTTGTGAGGGTTTATATAGTGCGTGCATTTATAGAGGGTGCACTTAGGGAAGTTTCGCTGTACCCTATTGCAATTTTTTTAAATATATATTATGAAATATTTTTATGTACTACTGTTCATAATGCAGTAAATTTATGCTCGAATGCTTACAATACGGTATATTAGTATATATTAATATCGATGTTGTTTTTGTTTTTTATACTTGTGGCTTTCTATATCAGACAAACGATATAATAATTCAATATCAAATACACATTCTAACATGCCTCCTATTTATCTATCTATATTTCCATTTCTTTTATTTTCTTTCGGTTATTTTAAAGGATAAATTATTATTAGTATTATTAACAAGAAATCAAATTTCTTATTGTTATTACTTCTACTCTTATCGTTATAGAATTTTGAGCACATCATGTTTTTCCTATGCGAGTTTTTTATTAGTTAACCTCTGATTGATCAATGATAACGATAACGATAAAGGAAAAAAGAAATATATATATAACTGTATTTTTCGCATGACATTTAGACGACTTGCGATCTTGTTAACTGTTTTGAGTTAAACCACACGACCAAAAACGGGGATCGGTTAAAGCGTAGTCCATCCGATAATCTGTCCGAAAAACAAACCAATGAGGGTGCGTAAATTTTTAATCAACCCGGCAAAACAAATTTGAAGCAAAGAAAAAAATGAAAAAATACTGAAAACAGGTGCTTAAATCTTTCTTGGAGCACTAACTAAAAATGTCGGGAAGGCAATTTTAAATATAATCTTAATCTCCTTCTCAACCCTAACCCTAACGTTGGAATTACCTTTTAATATTTTTTAAATATATCACGTGATAGATTACGATTTAACCATTATCCAAAAACGGTTATTTTTACACGTGCATTTAGAGTACAATAACGCTCATAAGTATCCGATCGCCCCTAATTTTTTATAGATCATGCGTATCATCCTAAAAATTTCTGAAAACAAAATAATAATTATTTATTCTTTTTAAAGTTGGTAAAACTTCTACATCAGGTGTTTTATATTGATTGAAATTCTACATTACAAATTCCAAAACACATATCTCAATATCTATGATGATACACACTATCTAAAATCATCAAATATTTATTTTTTATAAAATATATAAACTTTTCAACTAAGAAGAAAATTCAAAATTTAATCTGTAAATATGTTCTATTTTATTATATTTACAAATTAAATTTTGAATTTTCTTCTTAGTTAAAAAGTTTATATATTTTATAAAAAATAAATATTTGATGATTTTAGATAGTATGTATCATTATAGATATTGAGATATGTGTTTTGGAATTTGTAATGTAGAATTTCAATCAATATAAAACACCTGATGTAGAAGTTTTACCAACTTTAAAAAGAATAAATAATTATTATTTATGTTATTCTTTGTTTTTATAATTTATCAAAAGTTAGAAATAATTGGATACTTATGATCATTACTATATATACAGTTAAACCTTTATAGTCATTACCCTTGAAAAAGCAAAATTTGGTTACTATGAAGAAGATGTAACTATAGAAAAATTTTTTTTATTATGTTTATATATAAAAAAACAAAATAGGATAATTATAGAGAGATATAATTATAAACATGTATAATTATAGAAAAATTTAACTATATATTATATTTGAAATTGATATTTGTGTCAAATTATACTTGATCCAAATTAAAATAAGAGTTTTATTAAAATTAGAATTAAAATTAATATTGATAAATAAATTAATATTGATCAAAAATAATTATGTAAAGTATGATCTAATATAAGTATCAATTTCAAACACAATATATATAGTCAAATCTTTTTATAATCATCATTTTTGAGAAAGCAAAATTTGGTAACTATAGAGAAAATGTGATTATAAAAAATTTTTTTATTATATTTATATGTAAATAGAAAAGCAAAACAGGATAATTATAAAGGTATATGACTATAAATAAGTATAACTATAAAGAGATTTAACTATAATTTTAATTAATTCTTCTAGCTTTTAATAATTCTTTTATTAATTAGTATTTATATAATAATTAGTTTTATAATAAAGATCAACTTACTATATATTATAATTTAAAAAATATTTTTTATTCTAATATAATATGAAATTATTAATATTGTCATAATATAATAATTAATGAACAATTTTATTGGATAATGAAAATATCAATTATTATTAAATTATATTTATTAGTATTTTTATTGAATAATTATTTTTAGTTTTTTATTGAACAATTATATTTTAGATATTATTAATTCTTAAACTTATATTAATATTAATAATATTAATAATATCAATAATACTAACAATACTAGCAACAATAATAATACTAGCAATATTGATGACACTTATATTAACATCAAAAATATTAATAACACTTATATTCAATTAAATTAATGTCAATAATAATAAAACTAGTTATATCATATAACATATATCTAGCTTAGATTAAAATAATTAATAATTCAAAAAGTCTCTTGTTTAATAAAAACTTCAAATAACTTGTAAAATTATATTTATATTAGTTTTTGATCTTGAAAGATAATTACTTATAATAAATTATTGTTATTAACTTGAAAAATAATCACTTGATAAACTTATTATTTGTATTATAATTTTTGAAGTTCTAAAATAAACATATAAAACTTAGTAAAGTTATTGAATGTCATTCTAACTCATCACAATATAAATACATGTTATCTATTTTTAGTAATAATTTTTAGTCTTTTTTATTATAAAAACTTAGTCTTTTACATTATAAAAATTTAATCACTTCCATCTTTAAATTAATAGAAATACATAAATAATATATAAATAACTTAAACTATATAAAAATAATAATATATTTTAATACTTTCTCTGTAAAAAGACAACTTTACATAAAGTTTGGAATCAGTTATATTGTTATCATTTTGATTAATTTTTGAAATACTCAAAGATATTTATAAAATTAAAGGAATATTCAAAAGAAACTTTCAATATCTTAATGACAATTCAAAGTATTAATAATAGAAAGATCTCCCAAAATATTATGAACACTTTTTAAAATATAATAATGCAAAAATCAATAAAAAGCAAGTTTTATGATTCTAAGTTAATATAATCATTGAAATATATTTTATATTATATCAAAATTTTGATAACTAGTTCAAAAAAATATATATAAATATAAAAAATAAAATTTAGTATCAAACTAAAAATTTATATGAAAAAAATATTCTATTTTATAAAGATATAAATATCTTCATATTTAATAAATTAAATTAAATAATTTTATATCACCAGATTTATCAAGTCAAGTTATATCTAATGATATCAAAATCATATAATTTAAATTATTAAATGCAAAGATATAATATATCAAAAATACTATACAAAAATCAGAATAAAAAATATTTTAAAGAAAATTTTAAAGAAAATTATTTTTGCAAATATCTCTACATCTATTGAATCAAATTGAATGATTTGAATATTATTAAATTCACTTAAACAAAATGAATCTGATAATATAAAAATCATTTAATTTGACTAATTAAATATGAAGATATTCACAAAAAACTATTTTTTTTAAAAAATTTATCACAGTTTGGTACATTATCTTTGAGATATAATATCTCTATATTTAGTAATCTAAATTGAATGATTTTGATATCATTAGATACATTTTAACTTGAAAAATTTATAGATAAAATTTTATTTAATTTGATTTACTATATACAAAGTTATTTGTATCTTTGTAAAATAATATTTTTTCATATAAATTTCAGTTTGATACTGTTATCATTTTAATAGAGCTTTGAAATACTCAAGGATATTTATGATATTTAAAGAAGAAACTCAAATATCTTAATGACAATTCACAGTCTTAATAATACTTTATGACTTTAAACTGAATATAAGTTAAAGTACAATAAGTACTTATAAGAATCACTTAAAGATTGATAACAGTTGTATTCTTTTAACACAATAATTGAACTGCTAAAGAGAGTTCTCAAAATCTCAATATCAAATATAATATACATATTAAAAATGTCTTTAAATCTTTAAAGATCAAATATAAGATATAATATTCGTATTATCAGCAATATGAAATTGAAGATAAGTATATGAATAATGTATTATTAGCAATACAAAGTCAAAGATAAGTTTATGAGCAATATATTATTAGCAATACAATCTCAAAGACAGA